GTCTCCTATGATGGATGAGTTGTCCAGATATTACAAATAATAGTTAGAAGGATACGATTCACGTTACAGGCAATCCTCCGTCAGTTTCTCGTGAGACCATTTCAAGAATTCCTTCAAAGCAACTTTGACTTCAAAATGGGATGTCACGTCACAATCAATCACTAAGAGATTCTACGAAACCCGATTTTTCATCATAACTTTAGCCTATATTTAGCAAATATTTAGGTTAAAAATTGAGTCTTGGATTAATTTTATTCGTGGCGTTCCGGAAGTTAACTGGTCGGACCTAACTCGAATATATGTAGAGATGTTTTATAGGAATAATAGCATGATAGCGGACAAGGTAGATGAAGAAAAAATGTCTGGAATGTTAAAAAAGACTGTAAATTTTTATCTGTTCACCAACAAGGAGGTTATATTTTTCGTTTGTAAGCAGAGTTTCGAGTTTATCAGTAAATGAGTTATATGAGATGTATTTATCCTATTTCTTTTAAGGTGATAAAGTAATGGTAGTTAAATTTTCACACAATGATATGAGTATGGCTGACGCTTTTATTGAATTTTACATAGCCTTGCTTTCCCAAAAGTTTTTCTTATCCGGGATGGACTGCAGTTTCGACCTCACCTAGGTCCTATCAACACTCCCAGCGGGAGTCAAACTATGACAGTGCAGCGTGTAATCTCGACACGTTAACCACTCCGTACTGACCCTAGGACATTCGTGGCAATGTGATGGAGTGGTTACTGTGTTGAGATTACACGCTGCACTGTCATGGTTCGACTCCCGCCTACGGGTGTTGATAGGATGAATACATCTTGTATAAAGAGGTTATATTTGATAAAATATAAAAATAAGGAGATTTATGTCAAATTAAGGTGATTTTTGGTTTGCAGATAAGAGTAATTAGGATGACACTAGGGCATCATAAGCCAGCTAAAATAAATTTGGATTTTAAATTAAAAAGGAAAAGCTACTGAGCCCATGGAGGGGATTGAAATTGAGTAGCACTGTAAAAGTTAATATGTGCATATCTAAAAAAGAGAAACTAACCTTTAGGGTTTTGCCATCAAACGGCAGGGAACCACTGATCAAAGTGTATAGAATAACACCCAGAGACCACACGTCAACTTCGGGACCTTCATATTTTCGGCCAAGAAAAAGCTCAGGTGCAGCGTAAGGAGGGCTGCCACAGAAGGTGTCCAGCTTACGAGATCGGTCATAGATGTTCGAAAAGCCGAAGTCAGCTATTTTAATATTCATTTCATGGTCAAGAAGAAGGTTCTCAGCCTTTAGTCGTGGGCATAAAAAAATATGATCATAAAGAAAGAAGAAATAATAAATGGGGTAAATGAAGATAGAGATAGGCGC